TTTTGGGTTTAGCTTTCGGGAGATTCCAAATGAAGACTGGATCAATTTTAACTAATAAGAAGAAAAAACAAGTACCATTTCTTTATCTCCTTTCCTATTAATTATAAAGCTTAGTGGGTTTTTTTTTTAAATATCTGGTTTTTAGTCTTCAATTTGAGCAGATCATATTACATAAAAATGAAATAGAGAGAGATTTGAGAGTCTATATTTGATTATTCACATCTGGACAGAACTCACCAAGTCTTAATGTATAACCTCTGTAAAGTTTTACCAAAGAAATAACTGCAAATAGAGATGTTTATGACCAAAGATGTCACCATATTATTACTGGCAGGTAAGTTTCTTTTACTAAATGAATGACCCTTTACTTGTCCATAGGACAGTATTTTTTTTCTTCTGGACTAGAGGTATAAAACCAAGGATCCTTCTCAAACAGTGCCCTTCCTGCCCTCATAACCTGGACCCCAGAATGTAACAATACAACCAAATATACAACATATGGAACAAAGAATAAATTCATTCACTGCTGTCTGATGTAGTACTGTACTTCAACCTCAGGAACACCTCTAAAAGGATTAGATACAACCAGGTATATATTACAGAGAGAATAAGAAAAATATGGGCTTCTAAATTATACCATGTAAGAATTAGTTAAAGGAATTGAGAATATTTATCCTAGAAAAGATCAATCTCAATGAATGTAGCAGCCTTTTCAAAAGAATTATTCCTGTTCTGAATAGCACTGGAGGAAGAATCAGAAGCAAACATGGGCTATAAAGAAAATAACTTGGGCACAATAGAAGTAAGAATTTATGAGAATCAGAGCTCTCTAAATATGGAATAAGCTACCAATGACAACATGGAGATCTTTATAATTGAAGATGTTCAAATATAAGCTACGTGACCAGTAACTGGCAATAAAATTATAGAAGATAGGCAAGCATTAAGGTACAAACAGTGGATTAAATAGATTTTAAATTATCTTCCAATTTACAGAGTCTATGATCTGAAACTATTTAGTTGATTAAACCATTAGTTGAATAAAATCTGTTAACTTGCCAAGTTGTCAATTATTCAATATTACTATACCTTTACAACACACAGAACACCTTCATTAGTTTCTTTATCTGTACTGATTTTGAAATTTCCATTTTCATTTCCCTTTAAAATGGTGAAATTG